GGCACTGAGTAGCCCAGTAAAACATGCTGGCACTGAGTAGCCCAGTAAAACATGCTGGCACTGAGTAGCCCAGTAAAACATGCTGGCACTGAGTAGCCCAGTAAAACATGCTGGCACTGAGTAGCCCAGTAAAACATGCTAACACCGAGTAGCTCAGTAAAACATGCTGGCACTGAACAGGTAATAGAAACATTTTAAGCACCTTAAGATGAAAAAAAAAAACCAAAACAAAACAAGATGACGTTCTACACCATACTATGCTATTATTATAATACAAGAGACAGTTTTGTTTTTGTTTTTCTACATTTACAGATATTTAGCAGACACTTTTGTCCACATCGACATAAGAAAGGAAAGCTTCTGGTCAGAGACCGGGGTCAGCCCAGGTCCCTCGAGAAGTTGGGGTCATGGACCTTGATCAAGACCAGTTGCACAATATAAAATAAATCCATTCAATCTGATGATCCTGGTTGACCCAGTTGAATATTATCAGGTATATTACAAGGGTTTCATCACTCCAGTTAGAACAAATCAAGGAACTTTCCTCTGCAACCTTCAGTTGTAAGAACTTCCTGTTGCAGAGTCTTGTGTTTAGACTTGGCGCCTAATTCTGCAGGGACATGGAGGGATGGGGGCTGACCTGCAAGCGCTCCTGCTGTTCCCGGAAAGCCTCGTAGCTGGTGGCCTCCAGCGAGAGCTGGCTGACCAGATCCTGGGTCTCCTGTAACCACGGCGACACCTCCGCGTAGCTCTCGGAGAACTGGAGCAGGAGCGCCTGAGCATGCTCTAACTGCAGCACCTCGTGGGAGCGTGTGGTCGATACGGCCTGGCATTTCTCCTGCAGAGTGTCAAGCTGTGACTGCGAACAAAGAGCAGGGAGAACCTCAACACACTGATATACGGTTTATACACATCATCACTTTCTAATGAAAGCCGAGCATGTCTGCTTTTTGACGATTGTCACTTTTTACGATGGAATACGTTCATTATCCTCTGCCTACTGATACCGCCTGACACCTAAATGACCAATGAAAAGTTTTATGAAGTTATCTATTTACCTAATATTTATGCTCGTACTAGTTAACATTTGTATTCATGATGGTCGTTGGATTACTTCATATCACTAATTTTAACAAGTTAATAACCATTAGCTAGGTAGCTAGCTAACTAGCATTGTTGTTATTTGTGCTTGTATCTTGTTGACATATTTACCTCGTCGACAGTCCATTTTACATTTTTAGCTGTTCACAGACAAGTTTGTAATAATAGGTTTATATTAGTGGTGCTTTGGGAGTCTCATCACATTGTTTTATGTTTTATAAAGTAGTATCTGAGAAAAAGATTTTTCTATATACGTGTTTTTCATTGGCCAACAACGACATAATGTGCTGTATGAATGTGTAATTATACTTTCTTTTATTTATTTATATTATTATTGCATTACACAATAGTATAACCACATGCAGTTATTAAACTGTTCATATTTGATACGGCGAATGAGCTGCTTAGAGGGCTGGGCTGGTGACAGTGACTCTGTGGAAACGTTGTGAGGACCTTGTCACGTCGTAAATATCATGCCCCCACCTGCAGGTTCTCGTTTTCACCCTCTTCACTGTAGCTCTGCAGGATTTCCAAGACCTTCATCATCTTCTCGATGTTAAATCTGTGCTGCATTATCTCCACAGCGAGAATCTGAATTCAGTTAACACAGGAATCAAAAACATTTCACGATACTCTGTATTTATCAATCATTTTATTGAAGTTTTCTTTTCCACTCTGTGTCTCAGCGCTGACACGAGCACCTTCCTAAACCGAAACGTGAAGATGGAATCGGCGGCTGTTGGTAACTCCACCTTTTGGTCATACAGCTGAGAGCAGATGACGTCGGGATGGAGGCTGATGTTGCTCAGCTCCTCCAGCTTGCGGCCGGTGTCCTCAAACCAGGCCAGCTCCTTCTCCACCGCCTGCTCCAGCTATGGCAGCACGAGAAGTATCTCATCATGCTGGTCCACCACATCAATAAGCATTTCACATATTGTCAGAAACGTATGAAGAGCGGTGGGTGAACCGACTAATAATTCATTAGATGCTTTTATCCGAAGGAACAAACATTTCTGAGAAAATGGGGTCAAACTATCCCTGGTGTGATTAAGGGTCTTGCACAGCATCCAAACTGGCCAAGACACCCACTGCTATCTAGCATGAGATGCCGTAATTACATACAAAATAACCGAACATAACCGTCACGCAAGTCCTTGGTGTTTCATGAATCTTCGTAGGTATCTCACCCGAAGTCTTTCGGTGGCACAGAGGACGCCCTCCCCAGGCGGGGGCTGACTCCCCACACCCAGCAGCTCACGCTCGATCCTCCCCAGCCACAGATGCAGCTCCTCCTGGCTGGAGGTGCAGCGCTGAGAAGCCTCCAGGGCCTGTTCCAGGCGCTGCAGGACGTCGGCCCCACTCAGGCTGAGCACGGAGTACCTGATCCTCAGGCTGTCGGCCTTCTCTTGCACTAACTGGGACTCCTCCTCTGCTGGGACACACATCACTATCACTACTACTCCGGTTTTATTTATCCAAAAACACATTGACCTTATACTCTCTGCAAATTGTTATTTTACTGAACTCTGAGCTGGGCTGCCCAGACACATAACGCAGCAAGAAATTCTGTTTTTGCCATATGTTAAATTATTTTGTGGTGTGCTCAAAATTTTATATATAACTGGCCAGAGGCCCTGGCCTCATGTGTAGTTCTGGAACAGCTGGCCATCTGCATTTATTTTGATTCTTTTTAAATGGTAGCCAGGTAATCCATTTCAACTGACCCACCTGAAATCTTCTCCATGAGCTCGTGGCCTCTCTGTCGAACGTCCTCAAGGTCAGCCCCTTTAGATTTTATTTCTTCAATCGCAGCCTGGAGATTCAAGAAGGAGCGCTCCGAGTGAACGAACGTGAGCGACGCGGATAGAGGAATTTACCCACTGGCCAGACGATGCAGTACAAAAACCGTATGATCACAAGCCAAGGTCGTTCATTATAGTGCCCCCTTCACATCACCTCTGGCTGAAGCGTTGCCAGAATATAGCCAGCCATCCATCTTTTGGTGAGTCACCCTGACTGGCATCCCGGGGGGGGGGGGGCTTTGGAGCCCATTCCAGGCAGCACGGAGCAGACGGCAGGATGCCAGTATGTTGCAGCAACCATACACACACAATGGGCAATTTAGAGAAGCCAATTGACCTAACTGCATGGCTTTAGACTGCGAGAGAAAAGCTGGGGACCGGAATGAGACCCGTACAACACAGGGAGAACACGCAAACTGCATAGCACAGCGTGGGGGAGTGATCGAAAGCACCAGCTCTGCAGGCAATCAGACTACTAACGGTGCCACCCTGTGTTAAAAGATATAATATATATACATAATAATAGATACTTTTTTGTTCTCTATACGTCTCCCCCAACATGTTCTCTGTAGGTGAGAGCAAGCTGCAGTGCAAAGGGCAGACAGCCACCCACAGCAGCGCTCAGGGAGCTGGGGGGTTAAGGGACCCGCTCATGTGCCGAGGCTGGGCTCGAACCAGCGACCTTCTGGTCATGGGCACAGAGGTGTAGCCTGCTTACATTTTATTAATATAAAGATGCATATTTCATTGACAGTTACTTTTACCAACATAAATTAGTGAAAGCAGGGTTAACCAGTCTCTGGAGTAGTTGGGATTAAACAGCTTGCTCAAAGGGACAAGGGCAACCACTGGATTTGAACCAACAACCTTCAGATCAGAAGGCCAGAGGCCTAACTGGCAGAGCCACTTGACAGCCACATAGTTGCCACATCATAAATTCCATACTTGATGGTGGTTCTGGTTTCATTCTTCGTCTGTCCCGTTTATCCACACACTTCCCTGCCACCGGTTGTGCTGTTGTACCTTGGCACGTGCAGCAGCCTCCGGGATGCGACCCATCCCCCTCTCGGCGGAGCGTAGCTCTGACAGGCTCTGCTCGGCGGCCATGAGCCAGTGCTGGAAGGTGTCCGTGGTCTCCTGGAACCGCTGTGCTCTTGGCAGGATCTGCTCCAGCCCGCCTCGCCTGTCGTTTGAAGCACAGCGAAAACTCAGCGACAAGGGCCTTGGGGAGTTAGGTTACAATCCACACCAGGGCCTCGGGGCGTTAGGTCACAATCCACACCAGGGGGACTCTTATACTCCCAGTTTGGCTCTTACAATGTTAATTGCTTTCTATCTGTAATCCTGTTAGATCTTATTATGACAGGTTCTCTAAGGCAATTATACAGAGAAGCAGCTTGTACCCAAATATGCATTGTAGTGGAAGTTCTGAAGCTGAGAATTTGTTCAGACTACATTTTATAACCTGTGGCATGTTTTCTTTTTTTGTCACTAAGCTGCGGATTTGCTTTCAAACAGCAGTGATTTAAAATAAGCCAACAAGCAAGAACTAGATACCTGCTCTCTGCGTGTTGGAGTAACGCCTTCCATTTTTCCTGCAGGCTGCATATCTGACTTGCTGCTGACTCTCTCCCCACACTCTGGAATGCCTTAGCTAGTTGTGGCCCCTGTTTCACCATTGACTCCACACTGGGCCTCCTGTCCTCTAGGAGGCGCTGTAGGAGCTAGTGGAACACAAGAGAGTGTCAGTTTGTTTTGATCCAAAATTCAAATACTTTACATTCACTGTTCTAATGTTTCTGTTGGCTCAGAGGAAATACAGTAGTGAATCAGGGAAAGGTATCTGTGCAGTAACTTTATCTTCTCTGGCACAAAAAGATGAATAAGCCTTAAATGAGGCAACCTCAGCTTAACCCTACGGTTTTGGTTGCATCCCATCAAGGAATAACCTTGGCTTTTACATCTGTGAAAGGGATTTTGGGATTTTCCCACGGCAATGTGAGCACTGGTGCACTATTACAATACATGATAAGAAACAGAATCCTGCTTGGTTTTACCCTAGAAACTCCACCTTGTGCTTTTGCCAACATTTGTCCATCAAGACCAGCTGATGTAGCTCACCGGAATCCAAGTCTATAAAAGTTTTTAACGTGAACTTTGCTGCCTTCAGCATCAATAAGTATTAAAAATAGTGTATACCTCATGTACGTCATGTATAACTTTAATATTTGCAATATTCTGATATTTTTTTTTTTTCAGGAGATATTTTTGAATGAAGTCTGCTGTGCTTGGATTAAAATCAATGCAATTATTTTAGTAACTGAGTACAATAACAATAACAGTACATCAAAAATATTTTTGGCTACACAGAACTTGAAAATATACAGCACTTTATTAGCCATGAGTTAAACCCCAACTGGGAGCCATTTTCAGCCATTAGTATAATCATCACATCACAATTTGTTGTATTGCTATGTGAAAAACATTGGCTTTATGGCTTTATTGTAGTTCTGAAGGCAGGTTTCAACTCACCTAGGGAGCCCAGAATGACAATAATTACACCTCTGAAGGAAAAAAGACTGACATTTTGAGGACAAGACTTGTGTACCTTCTTTTACCAGTTCCAATATGAAAGCACAATCTGACACAATCTGTAATGCGAAATGTGTGTAAAAATAAGCATATTTTTTATCCTTCTGCTTCCTTGGGAAATACCTTCTGTTCCTGAAGCTGTGCCTTCAGCACCTTGACCTCTGACGAAGGCGGCTTCTGATTGGCTATCAGCTCCTCTATCTCAGACACCCATGTAAGCAGGGCCTCCAGGGCCCGATGGAAGGTCTCTGAGTCCTCGAAGGCATCTTTGGCAGCCAAAGCCCGCAAACTCTGTAGCCAGAGACAGAAAAGTACATTCAGTCCTTATACCATAATCAGCTTTTTTTTGGGTAAATATTGTTTAGTGACAACAATGTTTTGGAGCAGGTGTTTATTTTAGTGGTAAATGGACCATAGGTATTAGAAGTCACGGTCTGACCTTCTTGTTAAGAGAGGTCCATCTGTCTACACTAGATTCCTGGTCTGAGCTGGAGTGTCCGTCACTTCGTAGCTGTAAGACAAACAATGTGAGCATTGTGAAACAATTTAAGCCTCTTGGTAAGAATACATTTGGCCTTACAGGCGACAGAAATGACAGTTGCTCAGTTTGGACTTTTTCTTCCTGCTGGGCTACACATCTCTAGTGCATCTACAAGGTTTGGATGCTGGTGGCGTATTGACCTCAGTGAGTTCCTCGGCCGCTCCGGTAAGGACGCGTACAGTCCTGGTCACCACCGGGTCGCCCCCTTTGTCCCCGGATGGAAACTCGGTCACCTCCACAATCTCAGTCACGATGGTTTCCGTCACCTCCGTTACCTCCGTCACCTCCCGGGAAGAGAGTGTTCTCCATGGCCAGGGACTTCCAGAGTTCCTTCTCTGGAAAACCAGTGGCGTCTCCTCAATCCCCTTCACCTGCTGTCCTTGGGGGGCCCTTCTGAGCCCAGTGCCACTCCCCTTAGTCAGGGTCCCGTTGAGAGGTGTTTTGGCCGGGGAAGGGGTGTCTGGCCGGGTAAAGGGCAAAGAGGTGCTCTGTGGCCTTTCTAAGATTGGGCTCTGTGTGGCTGGCGTGTTTGCCTCTTGGGGCTCCTTCTTGGGCAGATGCTCCTTCCTGTGCTTTGGTTGGTCTAGCTCCTCAGATTTGACCTGCTTGGACTTCTGACCCAGACAGCTGGGCCGGCTGATGAGGTTTCCCATGTCTCTACTGAGCTAGTGAGGTACGCTGAGTGGGACGAGGCCTGGGTCATGCATGCAAGGGGCCTGTTTACTGCCTAAAAACAAGACAAGGGCGCTGTTTATAAACCCAAAACCCATCAGGTCATCCACCCGCCGACCCCCCCCCCACCCCCGTCACACTCTCACTTTGAACCACGTGAGACAAGTCCGTCATACATACATTTGATATTCATTTCATTTATTGACGCACTAATGTTAATAAAATGCCAATAATACGTCAATAAAAGACAACAAAAAACAAAATTATTCATACACCATGCATAACATTAGTAATGCATTTTCCCAAAGTCTCCCAAAGCTTCAAATAAATGTGCACATTCCCATGTGCATCCAGGAAACACTGATAATATTTCACTATGGTCCCTAAAAACTCATATGATCAGTCTGAGGGGAACTTGTTTTACCAGCAAGTGAACTGTAAGTGTATTTTTAAAAAAGTCTCAAATGGACTGATCTGTTTTCCCGGTGATGAAAAAAGACCTCAGAAAGCAACAGGCACCAGCTGGATCTGGTTGGATCTAGTTAGATTTGGTTATATCCAAGGGGGGTGAAGACAAAAAGCTCAGCGCAGGCCTTCACCGTTCTCGGTGCTGGAGCTCCAGGACCTGCGTGGCCGTCGACTGTCTCCCGGCGAAAGAATCGCATTGACAGGCTTGTCTGTGCAGAGGGAGGGGAGGAATCATCCGGGATACCCACTGCTCCTCCTGGCAGCCGAGGCCTCTGTTCCGGGCCAGCGCTGGTCCCCAGCCGGTGCCAGGATGCCATTTAGCGCCTGATCGAATATGACAGGCATAAGACGCAGCTTCATTTCCGAAAGCGGGGGCCATCACAAAGAGAAGCCCTGGCCGCCCTACCATGTAGCAGCATCGCTGGGGCCACATTGTCTGCGCCAAGCTGCGGCTCTTCCGCAGGACTGCGGCGTGTGCGAGCAAACAGCACTGAAACGCTTCTGCCCGGAATGATCGCTGTCTTCGAACATACCGCTCGTGCTTCGGAGCTTTCGGCCACTGGAATAAAGATCCGCAGCCTAGATGCCTTGGATATTTAGCTGAGTTTTTGAAGTTCCCCAAGTGAAATGGTCTGTTTTTTGCCAATGAGGGGTCAGCTGCCTATCCCATTGTGTGTTAAAAGGGGCCCGTGTTGGGGTAAGAGGTCAAAAAGCACTGTTCCTGGCTGCCACTCAACCAGCAGAGGTCAGTGCGGGTCACCATCCGTCAATGCAGGTCTAATTTGGGAAAGTCGCCTCTCAAGATGCAGTAGCATGTCTGAGGTAGATGTCACGTGGATGTGCTTTCACCCTTGGGTGAACACGGGTTCACAGAATGCAAGTTATTATTAGTAATTATATCGTATTCATCTCATTTTAACACTAATCTCATTGCATGTTGGGAAGATGAGCGACGGTGCCTGATTTTCTTTGACTTGAAGTTCCACAGGCTTGAGTTTATATGCTCATTTACGAGAATTTATGGCTGCAACCCCTAGACCATGAATACGTCTCTACACAACGTACGACCTTCACAACCATCATTTTAAAGGGCTCAGACTTTCTTTAGTATCTCTCCATTGTCAATGACTTTGAAAACCATTCGCTCACACCACAAACGTGACAGACTGATGTGGAACACGACACAGGTTATCTGCAGGTCTGGCTATTCAGACCAGCTGCTAAGAATCACGTTTCCCCACAGATAAGTAGGGCACATATATTTGAATTTCAGAGAATTTTTGTTTCCTCATTCTATCATGCAGTGTGCATAACATTAACATAAATAAACACAGCTACTAAAACTGCATCCACATTCTTGCCCTTCTGCACCTTATGGAAAGTATCACACTTTCAATATTGTAATTACCCGGGGTTTGGCTTAATCAAATGTGGTGTTCTTGTCATTAAATTAATGGCTATTTCCAAGGTAAGTGTGAGGGACCCCATGCTCTTATCTGCCATTACTCATTTCCTGTGGATCCAGATGATGCCACGATTATGCTTGCTTATGGACAACATGTACATCCATAAAATCCTTTGAATACCCTTTTAACACGCAAAGCACTTGATATATGAAGCGGATTCTGACCTGTGGCTGTGCTTAAAGCAGCAAGTTTGCCTTCCAGACTTTGGGTGAGTTGTGACGGCCCAGATATTAGGTTTGGTAGTAAGATTAGGCTTAAAGTTGATATCAAATTCTGGACAATTGTCATGTTAGCACCATATGGAAACTGACGAGGTCTGGGGTGAAACATCTTTGTTTGTAAATACTTATTCAGAAGAAGAAGAGTTGGTGGCTGTGGAGGGCAGATAGCCTCAAATACAGTACCAGTCAAAAGTTTGGACATAGAATGGTTTAATAGTACTATGTTCTACATTTTTGAGTAAATATAAAGAAAGTGGACTCAGAAGGTTGCTGGTTCCAATCCCGCGGCCGACAGAGTGATCCCACCATTGGGCCCTTGATCAAGGCCCTTAACCCCAATCGCCCCAGGGACTGGCTGCCCCCACTGTCCCCTCTATCCCGGTTCCATGAGGTGGCCTCCTGGGATGCTTTTCCAGCCGTCCTGAAGGAGCTCCCACATATATGCTGAGCTCTCATTGGCCGCTTTTCCTTCACTCTCTGGTCAAACTCCTAAAACCATGTTTAAGTCAGGTGACCAGGTCATGTGATATGACCCTATCACTCTCCTTTGTAGGCAGCATGGTGTGTTCAGTCCTTTGGCCGGCACTGTACATCTGTATCTGAGATGAACATTGTAATGGTAATGGTGATGGAAAAGGCAGGATGACCACCGGCTACCAAAAACGAAACACTTCTTCACTTGCCCAGCTGACTGAATCATCTCATGAAGTGATCTTGTCACGGGAAGGACAACCATATTGTATTGGCCATGGATTGACGACATCATACCTCAAGCCCTGGGGTACCCCAAACTTCACAAAATGGCCCCTAGTACAACAAATGAATAAATCCATCTTCCACCTTATCCAGTACAAGCTTGCAGTGATCCTATTGTAGGGAGCATGGGACACAAGACCAGGGACTCCCCAGGCAGGATGTCATTTTGTCACAGTTGACACACCAACATCCACACACATGACTTATAATGTAATTCTAATATTTTCGCAGATTATTTTCTCATTGAAGTTCAGACTCAAAACTAGGTGCTCCTGTAGCGCAACAAATAGAGCAGTGTGTGGATTCATATCTCTGAGAGCGCGCATATGGAAATGTAACTCATCTCTCTAGCTAGATAAATGCATCACATAAATGAAGACCATGCAGCAAGATAAATGTCAATCAAAAAATCAAAGTCATGAAAAATGTTTAGAAAACTCTGAATGAAACAGGCTAGATGCAGATAGTCCATTAAAGTCACCCTAGGCAGGGCCGGCCACCATGAGGAGGACACGGGACATCGCTGGGGTTGGTTGGTTGCTCAGTTTCATTGGCACAGTAACTCAGTAACACAAATCACTTCCTCACGCACAGTGCCTACAGTGGTGCTGTGACCCGGATCATTGATTCGATGCTCTGAAGTGGCGGTGGGAATTTGGGGGGGGGGACATACAAACTGACATGCAACAGAGCCCCATATAGTACTAATACATATAAACCCCCCCCCCATCCATCCCCAGAACAACGCATCATTTCCTCTCTGCCTGCTGACTAATTCGAGGTCAGTCACGGACAGTTGAGATTAATTCATTGGCCAATAAGTTCCTATGTCAAGCTGTCTGCAGCCAGATTACCGTCTCACCCTACTGGATAGATACCTCACCCTTGCCAGTCTGACCACAGTTCCCCCTGCCCTTCTCACCTGTATCTTCCTCACCCATACACCACAGTCACTGCTGCTCTCTTACCACGTTTACTGTGCCCAAATAACCTGAGTCTCAAACCAAAAATGCAGTAATGGCCTTAACCACAATGACCCCGTGCATTTACCGATCATAACCCTCCGTCCATTATGCTTACCTTTCCATTTCTCTGGCCGTGCGACAATGTAATCTCCGCCCTTTCAGATTACTCACATGCTGACTCTTGAGACCAGCCGTCCATCCTCTGAACAGTCACTCCTTTCACACAATATCGGGCTACGTTGCTTGTTTAAGTGGAGGTGTGATGCATTTTTATGGTCAAATTGTTGCAGTTATTACAGTCAACAAGTCTTGAAATAGCTCTAAGGTCAAGAGCGAGATCAGTGAAAGTAGAACTTATTCCATATAGAGTTTACCTCCGTGAAAGGGCCTTTTGTTTGGTATAATATGATAGCTCTGCATTGAACTGCTCCTTTATCTGATAGAATCCAACAGAACTGAACACATTCAATAGTGACTGAGGTTTCTGAATAACACTGGGTTCAGGAGGCTGAATGCTTACACAGCACACAGTGACGGTACAGCTATTTTCATGCTCATTCTAGGTACCTTTTATAAGGATACAAATTAGTCTTTAGGTTATGATTTTGACCCAAACCAAAACAGTATCTTCAATGCAATGGTACATTCAAATCCAATTATTATTGTTATTATGATTCTTGATGATGATGATAGTACTGCTGCTAATAACAATGTTGATCTTGCTGTTGTTGTTAGTAATGATCAGAACACCTACCCTGACAGATTAGGTAGTAAACGTCGCACACATTTGGCATTCTGAACCATCAGCTGTAGATGTGCTTATGATAGGAGACAGCCAAGTATTCAAAGTTGCTGGTCTGAGGTGAGCTATCTCAAAGAAGCCAGAGAAAGCTTTCTGGGCCCAGCTGTACCCGTGTGTGACTGTGCAAGGCTACCCATAACATGTGGGAAAGTTCTATGTACATGCAAGGCTACCCATAACATGTGGGAAAGTTCTATGTACGTGCAAGGCTACCCANTGCAAGGCTACCCATAACATGTGGGAAAGTTCTATGTACGTGCAAGGCTACCCATAACATGTGGGAAAGTTCTATGTACTCACCGGCACTCTGGAGCACAAAAGGCACACAAGTAATGCATATGTCTGTGCTGACGAGTTCACAGTGAGAGATCCACGCCTGCATGGACCATCCTGTCTCTGCGCTCCAATTTCCAACCGTAGGCCATGCTGTTCTGTTGCCCAGAGTTCCAGCCAAACAATGTTCAACTTTCCTCTGCACCCACAACTCCCCCCACCCCAGTGAGAGCACCTCCCGACCCCAGAACCACTCCTCCTCTCCGTTCTTGTATTGTTCTCCCCAGGCAGAAGAATCTCTCCCGTCAGATTCCTGATGTGTACCTCTGGATGATGTTCGGCCGCGGCTGCATGGTCTCTGCCTCACTCTCCCGCAAAACAGGAGCGCTTTGGTGTCCGAGAGTCCCAGCGCCCCCCACCCTGCCCCATCTCTGCCAGCAAACTCTGTGCCACTTCTGCTTTCTTGCTAGACTGTTAGATATGTCCCCTCCCTCATTCCCTCCCTCCGCTGGCCCCTCCCCCGGGTATTCTTTGGGGACTGAAAGCTCCATGCTGCTCTCCTCTCAGTGAAAAAAAGAGGACCCCCCCCTTTTCCCCCACCCCATTCAGATGTTAAGTGACAGCTGCCTTCAGCCCCTTGCTCTCCACCTTTATCACGTGATGGACACAGAGGCAAACCGTGCGAGTCACAATAGTAGAAGCCCCTCTCCTCCTAGAAAAGCCCACCCCCCGGCCGAGGGGGCGGAGGCTCCAAAGAAGCCCTAATTAATTAAAAACACCTCCTTTGAGGTTTTCAGCATGGCCCAGCCTACCAAACCCTGACCGGCAAACAGTCAGTGGTAGTGAATAAACAAAAGTAAATGCCGAACAAATAGAATGCGTGTGAACCTTTTAATTCATCAGAGTTCAAGTTCTGTCCCTCATTAAACAAAAACAAGACAGCTAACAGTTAATTTGCAAAGTAAAAAGTAAAAAGGGAGGTATTAAATGCCACAGGCTGTAACAGCATCCTATAACCTAAGAAGTTATTATAATCTCACTACTGTAACGGTGATTATTAAGGATGCAACCTTTAAACCAAAATCAACCTCCTAGACAAAATCATCTGTAGACAAAACTGTGTTTGCTGACAGTCTTCATGCAAACAATGTTAATTCATTTGTTGTCAGGCCTGATAATAAAATGATCTGGTGGCATAATGACGGTCTAAGGTGCAGCACAGATCTCCAGAGCATGGTAGAGATGCCAGCTCAGGAGGGACCTGCCCAGATGATTGTCTGTCAGCCACCCTCATCGGGGAAGGAAGGCAGTTCCTTCAATACCACCCTCAGTCATGCAAGCATCATTATGGAGAGATGAAAAGATTAAAAAATCGTAAAAATTGACCCGTTCATAATGCTCAGCCTTGCCTGGGGACCGATGGCTCTGTCACTGATTACAGCTCCGTCCCATGGCCAACCAAAGCCCCATCCCCACTTTCACTCCAACCCAGGTCTCTAGCACCTCAACCTCCAATTCCATCCAAGCCATATAGATTCGCTAAGAGACAAAACGGGATCTCCAGGGGCGGATAATGGAATATCAATCCCAATTTCCATCCTGGTCCCAGTCCCACACCACGTCAAACCGAGTTAGAAGCGAGTGGGGGCAGGAGCTTTCATCTATATCATGGGCTTGGAATTGTTGGAATTATCTCAACAGGCTTTATCCTTCAAGATGCTCAAAATTCAGACTGAAACATGACACTGACGTGGCACCATCATCTCATCTGTGGTGAACCTATGTAGAGAGTCACACGGGTTAGCATTCAGGAATCTGCTGGAAAGGCAGTACATGAGTGTGCAGTGGTTTACCATCAAAGTCGATCACCATATCCTGGCGGGTTCCCCAGTTCCGGTCCTACTAAACCTGGTAATTACCTGACTAAGATGGGTTAGAGCTTGGAAATCTGCAAACTGAGGGTTCTGGCCCTCTAGGACAGTAATTGGGGAACCCTGATGTTCTACATATGTGTATGATTATATTGATTATATTTTGCAAATAAATAAATCCTGGTTGGGGGTGTGTTTGGGAGCTGGTAAATGATCTGACCCTGGGAGAAGGCTTGGGCACCAGAGTATGCCCGCTAAAAACTCAGACCCCCTCGGGGGGGATTCGTGAACGGCCCTTCATGGGGAATTACATCATTCACATCCAATGGGCTGGCAGCCGGAACGAGGCGGTCAAGCAATGAGGGGGGGAGAGGAGAGAGTTTTCCAGAGTTCATGACAATTAATCAGCTTCTTCAAGGGGTTCTGCTCCTACGAGTGGTACCGCAGAAAGGACTTGCATGCCTTTTGACCTGCTTGCGGTGCTTAAATCACTCCACCACGCGGAGGAAATAAAGAAGGGAAGGAAAGAGAGGTGAACAAAATGCCTGAATGCCTGTCGACTTGGGATTCTTGGGAAAATTATTTCAATGGAGTTACCCCTGAGGTCAAGCTCTTTAACCTCCTGCTGGGGTGCACCGGGGGAGGGCAATCGTGTCTGTCAGAAATGATGTTTCGACTCCAAGCCAAGCTTTAATACAAGCTTCAAGCATCCAGCACACAGCAGTTCAGTTAATTAACAGACCCCAAATTTACTTGGTGATACTAACGTGCCATAATTCAAAACTATGTACACTGTTCGTAACATGTCTAGGAATGGAGTAGAGTATTTTACTGCAGTTTAAGGGCTTTGTTCAGAGGTAGAACAGCCAAGCACTCAATAATTTGATCCTTAGCCATGGTGCTAACTGTTCTTTATAACAAGATCTTACCCCACATTTTTAAAAAAATAATAAAAAGTAATGGAACCCTCTTATATTAGCTAAAAAGTTGAGGCTAAGAAAGGAAGAGGAATTCATGGATAGGCTGAGCCAGAGGATGCTCTGCTCAAATGAGAAACGCTGCTCGATCCCCACAGTGGTAAGAAGCGCTGCCTTTACCGTCTCCCACCTCCTAATCCCCACCTCGCCCCCCAACCGCAGGCAAGCAGATGATGGTCAGACTCAAGCCGGCTTTGGCTAATTGACATTCATAGCAGGAACCATAAATCAGCCCCAGCAAAATGGGAATCCATAAACCAAGAATCGTCTAGTTTGCCAAAGAAACAGATTCGGATTAGCCTTTGAATTGCGCTGCAAGTGCACGTCTGTGTGTTCATTAGGCAGCACCTCCCTTTTGCTGATAAACAGCAGAACCAGCGGCACCAAACCAACACGAAAACGTCCCATGAACATCATCCATGTGCATAGCCTTGAACTAGAAGCACGGTGATTTATGGCAGAGTGCAGTTCACACTTTGGATTCACCGGCTTGCTTTCTTTATATTTACAACAGGAGGGAAGTTAATTTATTAACAGATGCTTTTAACCAAAGTGACATACGATTCAGAAATCAGGATCAGACCGTCCCTGGAGCGAGTGGGCTTAAGGCATTGCTCTAGGGCTCAAAAGCGAAATCTCTCAGCCAACCCTGGAATTTGAACCAGCGACCCTCCAATTACAGGTCCAGTGTCCTAATGTGCCCCAATATTTCTGATTACCATTGAACATTTTCATCACAGCCGCTTTTAGCCACAGTTTAACATTCAGTTCATTATGTTCAGATCGATAGCGACCAGTGTTGGGAAGGTTACTTTTGAAATATAATAGGTTACTGATTACTAGTTACCCTGTGAAAAATGTAATAAATAATGCATCTATTTTGATTGCTTCATCAAAGTAATGTAACTTATTACATATGATTACTTTTCTAACAAATTCTTTTAAACCGGGAAATAAAGCAGAAAAGTCCCAATGCCTTTGCTGACCCGCGATGTCGGGAAATAAGCCGGAAGAAGGCATTTCTGCACAGCGAAAAGAGGCAAAGCATCAAAATGAATGTTATATTCTACATATAGGTTTTTTACCAAAAATGAATATATTGGGATGTAACCCCTTTGTAATCACCAACATTTTGATTTATAGCTGTAGTTTAATTACATATTTTTCTCAGTAACTGTAACTGTAAAATGACATATATTTTATGGAAATTACATAACACAGTTAAATGTAACTACTTACTCCCCGACACTGATGTCCGCCAAAGTAAAGAAGCTCAGGTGCCTTTTTGTACTGGGATAGTGGTGAACATCACTGCACGTCTAAGGGGGTAATAAGGGGATTTGTTAATTATGTACAGAAAAGGGTGCAGGTCTATGTGAAGGGGAAGGGTTAGCGGAACACGGCTAATACACATTTAGAGGTGAAAACTAAGGCTTTGAAGATGGGGGATTGTCATGTGCTGCTCCAATGTCATCAATACTATCAATTTACTGTCCCATCATTGAAGCTTCTCTTTAACGTAAAGCAGAGAACCTGCCTGCTTCTGGTGTATGAGCAATAGGTTTGGGTTCAGGTGTTTCGACAGGGAGCTCATGATGAATGGATTGCAAGTGAGGACAAATCAAATCACAGCCTGGAGAGCTAGTTGACTTGAAAGCACAGAAAGTGGATTACTCCATTACGCCGTAACCCCACCCCCCGTCAATCCTCTGTCTGCTAAAATCGAATGAAACCCGAATGGGTCCTCAGAATTTCAAGATAATTAGCATTTTTTCAGACCACACCGCTCCATAAAAAAGGGGGAATGGCACACAGGGAGTAGTGTTTTTTTGTGAGTAAGAATAGAGGGCCCCCACTGGGTAAGCTGCTATCTGGAAGCCTTGCTGGTGTGTTCCCCAGATTTTATATCATGCAGCTTTTTAGTGGTTAGAACTGGGGTGGTGTGTGTGTCTGTGTGGGGGGGGGG